GGGGGGGTGCAGAGAAAGCGGCAGAACCAACACAAGCGGCGGCACCAGCACCCGCAGCAGCAACAGTGCCAGCGGCAGCGCAGGCGACAGCGGCACGAGCAACCGCAGCGCCAGCGTCAACACCAGCGACGGAGGCGGCACCAGCAGCAGCAGCGGCGCCAGCAGCGGCGGCAGCACCACCACCGACAGCAGCAGCACCACCAGCGCCGGCGGCGGCACCAGAGCAAGCGGCGGCAGCAACACCAGCAGCAACGGCGCCAGCGGCAGCCCCGCGGCAGCGGCAGCACCGGCGAGCCCAGCGCAAGCAAAAGCAGCCGGGGCAGCACCAGCAACAGCGGCACCAGCCCAGGCGGCGCGAGCAGCAGCACCAGAGCCAGCCACGGCACCGGCAGCAGCACCCGCACAACGCCAGCGCAGGCAATACCAGCGGCGGCACCCGCACCAGCGGCCGCGGCGGGGAAGAGAGCAAAAGCAGCAGCGGGGACGAGACGCAGCGGCACCGCACCGGCAGCCGAGGCACGGGCAACAGCGACGGCGGCACCGCGACGGCGGCCCCGACGGCGGAGGCGCTGGCGACAGCAGCACCAGCAGCAGCAACAGCGGCAGCACCCCTGGCGGCAGCAGGACAAGCAGCACCACCAGCAGCGGCGACGCCACCGGCAACAACGCAGGCGACAGCACCAGCACCAGCGCCAGCCGCGGCAGAAGCAGCAGCAGCCAAGGCACGCAGCCAGACAAAGGACACACGGACACGACGACGAGGGGGCGGGGGCGGCGCCGACCCAGGACCCGCACCAAGCACAGCAAACGAGCTGAGACCAGCCGAGGCGACGAGGAGCGGAGCGAGACCGCGCCCAGCGGCAGACCAAACCCCCAGGACCCGACCCACGCCGCGGCGGCGACGGCGGCAGCGACGACAGCGCGGCAGCAACGACGGCAACGCAGCAGCGGCAGGCACGACGGCGACGACGACGACGACGACGACGGCGACGGCGCGGAGCGGCCAACGACGACGACGGCGACGACGCGAAACGGCGGCGCCGGCGGCAACGACGACGGCGCGGCAGCGACGACGACGCCGCGCAACGGCAAGCACGACGACGCGGCGACGGCGAAAGAGGAGAGGGAGCGACGACCAGCCGGCGCGCGCGCGCCGAGCGACAACCAGCTGGCGCGCGCGAGGGAGAAAGGAGGCGCGCCGCGGCCTCCTCGCGGGCCCGCGGCGCGTCCCCTTTCCACATCATTACACCTGCGGTTGCGCGCCGCGACCTTCTCGTGGGCCGCGGCGCGGCAATGCGCCTGCGGGCGCGGCGGGCGCGCGTCGCGGGCGGCCACCGACGGGCCATGCACCGCGCCACCCTCCGCGCCTCGCCGCCGAGCAAGCAAGATGACAGCGAACCGCGGGTGCACTCACCGCGCTTGCATTGGGCGCGCGGCGGTCGGCGGCGCGCGCGCGCGTCCTCGCTCGGCTGCGCAGCGCGCCTTGGCCACTGCGCCGCATTTGTGACCGCCCACAAGTGCACCTCCGACCCCCCTTTACCGGCTACTCGTTGGCCCACCCCAAAGCGGTGCCGCATGAGGTTCTACGCGCGGTAGAGGGCCGCGAGGCGCGCGACCGCCCGGGGAAGGCCGCTCTGCTCGTCCTCGGCTTAATCCACCAGCAAGCCCAGCGCCGGACGGCGCAAGGGACATGCACGGGCGATGTTGCGCGAAGCAACGCATGCGCACCACCAAGTGCCGCGACGCTGCATGTGGCGCGAGATCTGGTCCGTGCCGGCCTCGCAGCTTCACCGGCACGCGGCGTGCTGGTGCCCCGCAAGCATGCGGTCAGAAGTGGACCAGTCACCGGCGACGGCGCGCACGGCACCCCAGCGCGTGCCCAGCGCAGCGACCGCGAGCTGGGCTTTGAGGCGAAGCCACCCCTGGCGGGGGTCGGCAGGGACCGCCCAGTCTGCCCACCATGCTCGGAGGTATCCGCGTGAGCTCGTTGCACGGGGCGGTGGCCGCGCCGAGCTCGCGGCGCGCCGCGCGTTGGCCTCGCCCAGGGCAGCCCTCCGGCGCAGCTGCGGCCGCTCGCTGGGCGCGGAGACCGTGCCAGTGCCCACTGGCATGAGGTCCGCAGCATGGACTCAGTCTGGGCCCAGTGCAGACAGAGAGCAGCCCGGCGGCCTGAGATGGCGACGCAGGCCTGGAGGACGTCCCGCGATCGCTCGAGCCAGGCGCCCCCGAAGGCCATCAGCTCCGAAAGCACGGCGTTGGTTGTGCGCCGCGCGGCAGCCCGCGCAGCAGGCAGCAGCGCGGCAAGCGCGGGCCTGGGCGCCCAGGCGCGCAAACTGACCAATTCAGCCAGGGCGAACGACTTCGGCGGAGCCTTCACGATGCGGCGAAGCACGTCCAAGTCGCCCGTGACGAAGTCTCCCAGCATCGGAAGCGGCTGGGCCCGGCAGGCCAGGACAGAGACCGCGGAGCCGCTGCAAGGCGTGACCAACTCGGCCGTCGGGGCCCGCGCGGTCTTGAGCACGGCTACGCGCTGTTTGTATTTCATGGCTGCCGCGTGCCATGCGCCCGCGAGAACGCCCCCCAGACCCCGGGCCCAGGACGAATCCAAGAGCTGTTTGGCTTTAGGCGCGATGGTGAAGTTAGCCCAGTTCGGCGCCAGCGTCCTGAGCGCCGCGAAAGGGGGGTGGGCTCGATGAAATCTGCTAGGCCCGCAGCAGCCAGCCAGAGTGGCGAGCGGGCCGCACCTCCGCGGCTGCAGCCGCAAGCATGCAAGGCGCGCCATGGCCTTCAAATGCGTCTCTATGAAGGCGACCAGGCAGATGCCCCACAGCATGACCCCCATGTCATCAGCGCAAGCGCCGAGCTCCGCGCACTGGCTGGGCCCCACACTTGGCGCCTCGCGGGGTAGGCGGCTGGCCAGCAAGCGGGAGGGCATGGCCAAGGCACCGGCGAGGGCCTCCACACATGGCGCCGTCGCAGAGGCCAACAGAGTGGCCGAGAGGGAGCAGCCGAGGGCCACGCCCGTGTGCACCGCGCACACGTAGAACGACCGCGACCCGATGCGCGTCCAGCAGCACTGCCCATCGCACTGTGCCCTGATGAGCTGGAGGTAACAGTCGTGGATGATGGTGATGATGGTGATGATGATTATGGTGGTGATGATGAGGCATTTATTGGAAGCGGATGTTCCTTCGACCGAAAACTAAGAGCAGACCAGCCGTGCCCATGTTGAAGGGGGACAGAGAGGAACCATGTAACTCTGACTACGTAGCACGCCGCAATTGCGGATAAGAATGAAGAGGGACCGGAAGGGGAGGGTGGAAAGGAAGAAGGGGGAAAGGCGGAGTCGACTTCGGCGACTTTTTCAAGGCAAGGGCTGGGCTGCAGCGGCCGCATTAGGCAACGGCCCAACCAGGGGAACGCGTCGGCGCGCCTCTCCACGCGCGGCAGTCCAGAAGCCCCCTGGGATCGGCTGGCCCGCCAAGTGCTTGGTCTCGAACTCGACGATGCACTCCCGGACCGCTGATGTGCGCGCTTGCGCGCGGTCGTCTGGAACAACAGCACGCAGTCGCCAAGCCCGGGCTTTGGTTTTGAAGTCGCACGCCACCGGAACGCCAGCGTTCACCCGCACAGAGCGCACCGGGCAAGAAATGCAACTGGTCGGCGGGACGTCGGCAGCCACGCGCACGGCAGCCGTGCAGTTTGGGCACTCGTGCCAAACACCTGGCCGTGCCAAGAGAGCCTCAGAGCATGAACGAAACAGGTCCTCAAGGAAACGCGTCCTGCACCCCAAAATCTCCCAAGGTCGTTTTTTGAACCCCCCAAGGCGCGCGGGGAAGCCCTGGAGTGCGAAAGCGGCGATAGAAATGGGGGACATTTTTCCTTGAGGCCCCCGTTCCGCCATGATGAATCTCGCGACGCACAGCGGTGGCAGCTCGCAAGCCAGACTGAGAGCCACTGGGAGCGCGTGGGACGCCATGGCGCACGAGGCGCTGGACTTTGGGTGTCGCGCGCGCCTTCGGCGCCATGCTCGGGCCGAGACGGCTACGAAAGAAAAGCCAAAGGCGACCTCCACGCGCGCTCCCCCGGCGCGCCCTCCCCGCGCGCGCTCCCCGCGCGCCCTCCCCGCGCGCCCTCCCCGCGCGCCCTCCCCGCGCGCCCTCCCCGCGCGCCCTCCCTACGCGCCCTCCCCGCGCGCCCTCCCTACGCGCCCCCCCCGCGCGCCCTCCCCGCGCGCCCTCCCCGCGTACCGCCTCCTCTTCCGGCCACGCGCGCACAGGGACAGAGAATGACCGTTCGGCCCTCCTCACTCTGACACATCGTTATCACCGAACCTTTGAAAAGGTCCCACCTGGGAGAATACCGCAAAGAGCCAGGCCCATGCAGGGCTAGGAACTGCCGCGGCAACGTTGAAGCAGACGAGGCCCGGGCGACGCTGGGCGGGGGCCGCATGCGAACGGTGCCACTGGGGCTTTCGGTGGAGCTCCCTATGGATGGGGCCACGGACCTTGTGAGGGGTGTGCCGAGATGGGCGGAGGAGCGCATGTGACCTGTGCCACCGAGGCACTCGGTGGAGCCCCCTATGGGGCAACGAAACGTGCGACGGCGCGCGGAAATCGACACGCAGAGAGCAGAGGCAAGTGCGGCGAGTGGGGGGGGAGGGAGCAGCGGGAGGAGGAGGAGGCGGGAAGGACGCGGGGCGCGGTCTCTTCAAAGCGAGGACCCAGCACCACAGGATGGGTGGGAAAAACTTCCGACCATCGCCTGTGCTCACTCTTCCTCATCCTCCTGCTGCTGCTGCTCTTCACTCTCCTGATCTCCAGTTCTTCCTCCCACATCACCGCGCCGGCATGTACGTCGTCTTCCTCCTCCTCCTCCCTTCCTCCTCCTCCTCCTCCTCCTCCTCCTCCTCCTCTTTCAGCGCGACCTCCCCGAGGCACCCAAATGATCCAGGACATCGTCACGAATCCCGACTGGTGGGGCGGTTGAAAGGCGGGAGCCTCCAGGAGAGAAGCAGCAGCCTGCGCCCTCCCACATGAAAGTTGGTAGGCATAAATTGATAAACAAGTGTTTATGCATAAAACTGCTACGGTGAGCCAGCAGCTATGGACACGCGCGCACACACACGAACACGCCCCTACTCCGAGCAAAGGATGCCGTACAGGTCTGTCAACACTCTTGTGCGAAAAACGCTTGCCATCGTGGACTCCAAACAGCGAGTCTTTGCACCCTGGATGTGTAAGACATGCGAAGATAGTCTAAGCTGTGCGGCACAAACTACGCGGTGCAAACTGGTGGTGCAAGCTACGTGGTGAGACCCGCGTGGCGCAAGCTACAAGCTACGTAGTGTGATCTATGTTGTGCAAGCCTATGTGTCACAAGCTGCGTGGTGCAGGCTGCGTGGCGCGAGCTACGCAGCCGCATTGCGGCCACGAAACGACCCCCCTGGCAGGCCCACCCGGCGCACGGGGCGACCACGAGGCGACCACGGTCGTCGTTGTCGTCGTCGTCGTCCATCGTCGGTCATCGTCGTCGTCCGTCGTCGTCGTCGTCGTCGTCGTCGACGTCGGAGTCTTCGTCGTCCGTCGTCGTTCGAAGTCGAAGTCGTCGTCGTCGTCGTATGTCGTGGTGGTCGTCGTCGTCATTGTCGTCGTCGTCGTCGTCGTCCGTCGTCCGTCGTCTGTCGTCCGTCGTCGTCGTCCGTCGTCCGTCGTCCGCACCAGGGGCCACGGACCTTGTGAGGGGTGTGCCGGTCTCTGCAACATTGTACCAAAGCCCCGCGGCCTAACGGAAAATTGAAATTTCCCGACCTCAGTGGTCCGGACTTTTTAATCCAGCAGCTTGACAGACGTTCATTAGTGGTTTGGTTTTGCAAACGAATGAATTTCTCGTGTCCGACATCCATTTGTTTTCGCAGACAACAGCTACTGAAATTCTGGTGGCAGAAATTCATTCGGTTGTTTTGTAGGGCGGTCCAGGCGTTTCGCCTGAGACTTCGTCACCATTTATGACTCTGCAGCTTGACCATTGGCAGCAGCTTCGCAGATGGAGGGCGGGTCGTTTTCCAACTGTGGCTTTCGTGCTAGCGCGGCGCACATTCGTTCTAAACGTTTCACGGATTGAGGGCGGGTCGTTTTCAAAATGTGGCTCTCGCCGGAGCGCCGCGCACATTCGTTTCAAACATTTACAGAGAGTCACGGGTTCCCATCATCAACGTACCACTAATGGTGTATTGTAGGGATTCAGGACTATGCGGGTGCACCAATTAGGTTGGTTCTCTGTGCTGAAGCCCTAGGAATGGCTTTCTGGCACGATTCAGGATCGCCACGACGCAACAGTCAGGTTGATCAATGGCCTTGGATTCTCGAGAACAATGTTTTGGCATGCTTCAGGGTCTTCAAACGGGTGTCTTCCAACGAGGCATTACACTGGTCCTCCTCCTCCTCCTCCTCCTGCTCCTCCTCCTCCTCCTCCTCCACGTCCTCCTCCTCCTCCCTCTCCTCCTGAAGCCCTAGGAATGGCTTTCTGGCACGATTCAGGATCGCCACGACGCAACAGTCAGGTTGATCAATGGCCTTGGATTCTCGAGAACAATGTTTTGGCATGCTTCAGGGTCTTCAAACGGGTGTCTTCCAACGAGGCATTACACTGGTCCTCCTCCTCCTCCTCCTCCTGCTCCTCCTCCTCCTCCTCCTCCACGTCCTCCTCCTCCTCCCTCTCCTCCTCCCCGTCGCCGCCGCCGCCGCCTCCGCGTCAGCCTCCACCTCCGCCTCCACCTTCTCTTCTGCTTGCTCCGCCTCCGCCTCCGCCTCCGCCTTCGCCTCCGCCTTCTCCTCCTACTCCTACTCCTCCTCTTCCTCGTCCTCGTCCTCCCCCTCCTCCGCCTCGTCCTCTTCCTCCTCCTCGTCCTCCTGATCCTCGGCCTCCGACTTCGCCTTCGCCTGCTCCTCTGCCTCCTCCTCCTCCTTCCTTCCTACCATCTCCTTCCTCCAGCTCCTCTTCCTCCTCCCCCTCCTCCTGCTCCGCCTCCTCCTCCTCCTCTGCTCGTTCTCCTCTTTCATCCTCCTCATCCTCTCTCATCTCCTCACCTCCGCCTGCTCTCCTCTCCTCATCTCGTCCTCGTTTCTCGTCCTCGTTCCTCGTCTCCCCTCTCTCCTCCTCCTCCTCCTCCTCCCTCCTCCCTCCTCCTCCTCCTCTCCTCCTCCGCCTCATCCTCCTCCTTCCTCCTCCTCCTCTTCACTCCTCCCTCCCTCCAGCTCGTCCCTCCTCCTGTCCCTCCATCATCTCCTTTCTCCCCCTCTCTCCTCCCACCCCACCCCCCTCCTTACTCCGCGCTCCCCTTTCCTCCGCGCTCCTTCTCTCCCTCCTCCTCCTCCCTCCCCATTCTCCATCCTCTCTCCTGCTAGCCGTCTAAACTCCGATATTTACGCACCATGCACTGGCAGGCATCGCACGGTAGACGTCTATGAAGTGTGCCAGAAGTCGACCTCCACCCTCTGACGTCCAACCCGAGAGCGACCCAGATTCGATCGTCTTGCATGTTTATGCGCGTTTAAACGCGTATTTGTGTGTCCAGTTGTTTTGCCTTCCTGTCGACCTCATCTGCGCCTCATTGCCTGCCGTGCAGCTCGCATTAGCTTTCTCCTAGAGACGGGGAGGTCTAGAATGCTGTCTACATACCGTGCTTGGGGTAACGCGATTCTTATATGCAACCTCCTGGCGCCTGACCTCGACGAGCCACCCTCCGTAGTGGTAGAGATACTATAGCGCACTTGCGTCGTCTTTATGAGCCATCATACTTTGCCTTCTGCATTACTTTTGCCTTCTACCTTCTTCCCCCCCTCCCTGTTTATACAGCACCTCCATCCTGTCCCTCTACTATTGTATATCCTTGCATCGTAACTCACTAGAACTTAAGTTCTTCCTCTCCCCGTACCCTTTTCCTTGCACTGTCGCCCACCGCGCCAGCACTCTCACTCCTCCGCCGCCTACTCCCCCCCCCGCTGAGCTCCCAGCACCCTGCCCACTGGCCTGCCCAGCTGCTGGCGCGGCCTGGGCTCGGGCCCGCCGCTCTCGAGGATCCACCGGAGCTGCCAGTCCTCCTCTCGGGGAGGGCGGGCCCCCAGCCCCCTCGCGCCGCGAACAAATCACGACGCTGTGTTGGTGAGCGTTCTCTGATTCGGCGTCTCGACATTGGGCGGAAGCAGGTCTAGCGCCGGACCTCTGCTTTGTGCGACTGCTCGCAGCAGTGCGCCCATCATGGGGGAGACCCCACCTGCTAGAAACAGGCGCCCCAAACAGCCAAGATCTACTCCACGGGGGGCGGAGGGGGGGGTGCGACGGCCCACGCCGATCGGCAAACCAATGAATGAGAAGACGATCGCCTGCTTGTCTGATTGTGAGTTTTTGTTGTTTGTCTGCTGGTGTGTTCTTCCTCTCCGCGATTTACGGAGAACACATACATGAATGAACCGGGCGCGACCCCGAATAAGGGAAGCCTACTGCATGGGCGCATCGCTGGGCGCATTGCTTGACATTGCTTCGCACTGCTTGTCTTTGCTTGGCATTGCTTTGCATCGGTTGGCGTTGCTTGGCGTTGCTTGGCATTGCTTTGCATGGTCTGGCATTGCTTGGGGCAACCGGGGGGGGCGAACCCGAGGAACACGGGGAACCCGAGGAACTGGGGAACCCGAAGAACCTCCGAGGAACTGGCAACTTAGCAATCGGAGGCACTGGGGGCGGGGAACCCGAAGAACCCGAGGAACGTCCGGGAAACAGGCCAAGAACCTCCAGGAAACGGGAAAGTAACAATAGGAAACGCTGGGGGCAGGGAACCCGAGGAACCTGATGAACCCGGGGTACCCGAGGAACCTCCGAGCAACCTCCGAGCAACGGGCAAAGTAACACTAGTAGGCACCAACCCCAACCTTTCACCAAATTAGAACATCTTAGGCAAGGATAGTTCGGGAAAGTACCGTTGCCTCACAGGCACGTCAGAAAACAAAAAAACAACAACACCGTTCTCGAACTGGCCCGCCCGAAACGGAACCGCTTTGTGGCCGTCGATCCGAGCTGGCCGCCGAACGACCACACCGAAACCTTAAAAACCAGCCCGCCGACGAAACGCACCGGATGTGAGTTGCAAGGCCGACCCAGGCGTAGTGTGCAGCAAGCTCTGCGAGGCAGGCGTGCATAGCTAAACAGGAATGGGCGTGAGAGATCACAATAAATCCGCCGACCCTGTCGGCGTGTGTGAGGGGCTTGTCCGTTCAAGTCGTCATCTCCGTCATTCGTTGGTCGTCGTCTCTGTCGTCCCCTTTCCCTGCCTCCCCCCTTTCCCTGGGCTCGTCGAAGCTCCCCCCTTTCCCAGGGACCTCCTCAGCGCGCCAGCCAAAGCAAACTTGAGCAACGTCGTAATTGAGTCGAAGGGAAGCCCCTTCCCTTCGATCCCTCCCTCGCCGGGGGGGGGGGGTCCCCGGGGGGGGGGTCAGATACCCCTGGGAGTCCCGGAGCCCCCAAAAGCTCCAAGACGGGCCAAGAGTGCCCCAAGAGGCCCCAAAGACAATCCAAGAGAACCCCGAGTCGCCGAACGATCTGCCCAAGACGCCTTGATGGCCTCCAGACGGCCCAAGAGGCCTGCAAAGCGCCCCAAGAGGCCTCCAGGAGCTTTCCCACGAGAGCCCCAAGAGGCACAATTCATGGATTTCCCACACGTGTTTGGAAGATTTTGGCGTTCTTGCCTCTTCCGCTTCCCGACGCGCCAAGACGGCCCAAGAGGCCCCCAAGATCGCCCCGAGACAGCCCAAGAGGCCCCCAAGAGGGTCCCCTAACGGCCGACCAAGACGCCTCCAAGACGGCTCCAAGAGAGTACCCAGACGGGGGATCCGAACGGACATTTCGAGCTCTCAGCCCCAAGAGGCCCCCAAGAGGCCCCGAAGAAGCCCCAAGAGGCCCCATGAGGCTCCCACGGGGCCCCCAAACTGCCCCAAGACAGCCCAGGAGAGCCCCAAATTGCCTAGGAGGCCTCCAAGAGTGCCACGAGAAGGCGCAAGA